AGTGCCAAATTCAATGGCAACGTCAAGAGGGTTTGCTACATCAACACCAGCGACCCGTAGAACAGGAGCCGGGTCAGGAGAGTATTTACCACTCAATTTCCTCACTTTTTTCCAGACTGCACTCAAAGGAAGCAGAGGTGATGGTGGAAACAGTCTCGCCAGCAAGTGCGTTTAGCGTCACGGATGACACGGCGAGCGAGCGCACGCTTCTGCTTAAAATCAAGAGGTCTCTCATCGGTTCTACTGTACCGGTGCCTGCCCCATGCAAATCATTTCAAACGTACTGCACGAGCACAAGCAGGAGACCACCAAGGCACGCACTTCTGAGAATGCCTGCCTGAGGTTTGGGGTATAGAATGAGAAGCCGCGGCATAAACTGACGTCGAGAAGAGGTGTAGGAGCTCGTCAATGGAGGATGAAGAAGGAACCTCACTAAAAGCAGCGAGTTTCGAGTAAAGGTCCCAATTTGCCCGATCAAATTGCCAGCGAGGGCTACGGAAAGGTGGTGAATAGGAAGGTGAAGTAAGAATGATAGGAAAATGATCACTGTCATGCAAGTCTGGTAGAACAGACCAGGTGAAGTCTAGTGCAGTGGAGGAAGAGCAGACTGATAGATTGTTGCAAGAGAGAGTACGAGTACGAGGATCAAAATGGGTGGGAGTACCCATATTTAAAACATGGAGGGGGTGAGAGGCGAGAAAAGCCTCCAACTGGATGCCACGTGAGTCACAATGAGACCCCCCCCCCAAAGGAAATGGTGTGCGTTGAAATCACCAAGTAACAGAAGTGGTGGTGGTAAGGATGAAACGAGAAAAGCAAAATCTGGGATAGAAAATGCTCGAGAAGGAGATATAAAAAAAAAATTTTGTAACCACTTATTAAAGTGGAAAACGGGCTGAGTGTAATGCAGCGAGGTATGGACAAATAGTTGACAGTACGGAATATCATTGCATAGAAGAAGAGCACTTTCTTTAAAGTCCCATCTGAGAAAGGATCCGAAGAATAACAAAAAATTTATAGCCTGAGAGAGGTTGGAAAACAGCCGAGTGTAATTTTGGTTCCTGTAAGCAAGCACCAACAGGGGAAAACCTGGAAAGCAACAGCTGAAGCTCACCCCGATTACCCGAGGCCGCGGATATTCCACTGTAAATAGGCCATGATTGGCAATGAAGAAAATACCAGGAATCCGTAGGGAAGGCCACCTACGGACTAGAGGGGTTAGAAAAGTCAACGTGTGGTGGCATTGGAAGGCGTTCAAGTAGCGAAGGAACGGAGCGTTGAGAAGAGTGGAGTTGTGGAGATGGAGGAGAGGGAAGAGAAGGAACAGGAGGTGGATCAGTGTCCATTGAAGGTTTAGTCTCTGCAATATATTCTGGAATTCAAAGATGTATGGGAGACAATATTGGAGGGAGGAGGAGAGTGAGTAAAGACTGGGACAGTAATGGACTGTACCAAAGTAGGGGGGACGAAAGAGTGTAGGGGACTGGAGAAGAAGTGTGGCAGGGGACAGAAGAGGCAGAAACCTGGGAGGTGGCAGAAGAGGGAGAAACTTGGGAGGGGACGGGGTTGGAAGGCATAGTACAAGGAGGGGGGTGGGAAACCCCCAGCTTGTAATAGAGCCAGATAAAGGGGAAGAACTAGGTACAGAGACTGGAAAGGTAAAGTGCGGAGGTGGAAGAAGGGAAGGAAGGGGCAATGAAGATTTGAGCACTGGGGTTTTTTTTGGACTTCTGAGAAGTAGAGGGGTGATTGGTAGGTGTCGCACGGGGTTTGTCGATACCGGGTCTTGTGAGGAAGGACGTGAAGATGTGAGAACAGACTGAGTTGTAGTCGGGACGTCAGAGCCAAGGACAGCAAAAGGATTAGATGCCAGAGTGGCTATGGGAGAGGTAACAACAGAGCAGGCTGCAGAAGATGGGACTCCAGAAGTGGGGGGACGTTTTGAAACACGAGAATAAGAAACACGGGGTAGTCTCCCTTGGAGGCGGAGATGAGTAACTGCCATAGCATAAGGGAGACCTTCTGCTTCTTTGAGGCAACGGATTTCATGCTCATTCAAGTAGACCTGGCAATGGCGAGAGTACGAAGGATGAGCCTCATTACAATTAAGGAAAGATGGAGGTTGACTGCAAGATGTATTAGAATGGTCGTTGGCTCCACAGACTGGGCATTCGGCCATAGATCTGTAATATTTTGCTGGGTGACCAAAACGCCAGCAAGTTCTATAACTGTTGCGGTGTAGGGATCACCTTTCGAACTTGTAACCATGACCCCGCGACATAAACAAGGGCGGGAGTTCACGGCTGTCGAAAGTTAATCGAGCCACACTTGCAAGGGAAACTCTCCCGCCCACGGCAGGAAGGATGTAAGTTGCCCTAATTTGGGGATTGGGAGATCCTGGAGTTCCAGCTGTTCAAGAATGTCAATTGCCAAAATGACTGGAAATACTGCTGGACTATGGTATGGGGCAAAAATGACAGTACCACTACAAGAATTGAGAGAAAGATGTTTTTCAATAGTGATAGGAGTATATTGATATGCGAAAGGAGAGAAAGATCATGAGCTTGGGTAGCATTCTGGACAGGGGACGATGCGCGAAACCGCTCTTGAGAGCATGAAATGAAGTATCTCTACTTACATGGCGCAGGAGTGCTTTGCCAATACTATGGTCAGAGAGATAGGCAGTAGAAGAAGTCGGTCTTAAAGTAAAGAATTTAGTCCATTGTGTGGTCCGAAACCGAGCGTGGAGAGGAAGTGCATGACGTGTGGGTCTTTCCTAGTAGAATGGGAAGGTAACGAAGGGACATCAGGAGATTGTCGTTGGCGTTTAGGAGTAGGACCAGAGTTGGTCCGTCGTGAAACGGGCTGGCGATTCGAAAATTGCCGTACCATAGAGGGAGAGGCCGGAAGCATAGTCAAAGGAGAGCGGAGTTCAGACAAATCGAAGGAGTCAGTCGAAGCCCCGGTACCTGAAGCAGGTGAGGAAACAGCACCAGCAAGAGGTACAGGGGCATCAGGATTGTCCGAAGAGTGGTCTAAAAACAAGGCAGGGTCAGAATAGGGTGCGGTATCAAGAAGGGGCCCGGGGTTAGTGGGTTCATGGATTGGGTTCTTTTTTTTTTTTTTGCTTTTTGTTTTTAAGAAAAAAAAAGAAAGAAAAAAAAAAAAAAAAAAAAAAGAAAAAAAAAGAAAAAAGGGGGGAGCGGGGAGGAATAGTTCCCAGGAGGAATGAAAGGGCCGGAAATCTCCCTCCGCGCCCAAGAGGACCTCAGCATCGCTAGTAGCGCAGATGCAGCATGGAACCCGTGCCATACCCTACCTTTCATGCCAGTAAACCAGCAATCCGGGAGAGCAACCTCACATCTGCCGAGCTACCTCGGTGGACAAAAGAGAGGACGGCGGGATATCCGCCACAAAGCATACCTCCTTCGGCCACCACCCCCGGAATCCGAAAGGAGGCTTCCAGAGATACACCAGTCGCCCGAAAGACACCCAAAGCTAGCTACTCCGGGATACCGGAGAGGGATCGGGACATCCCCAGGCGATCCAGATTCCACGGCAAACTACGCCACCGCCAAGAACCTCAACGGAATGGGATGGACCCCGGTATCCTTTCCCCTACCTAGGAACTAGCGCACCTGTAGGAGAAATCCCAAAGGCCAAAAAGAGGAAGGGCAAAAGGGAGGGGTGGGGAGGAAGAAAGGAAAAAGGGGGAGGATGGGAGAGGGGAGGGGAGATTGGGGGGTAATTAGGTTCGGTCTGAGGAAGACCGACAGGTCTAATTCCTCAGACCAAGAGCCTCTTCACCACGCCAAGGAGCCCCCTTGAAGAGGTATTACAGTGCAACATGCCAAAGCCCCTTGTATGCAGAGCATTATGGGCAGGCTTAAAATTAACTAAGATTAACTAAGCAATGATATATTCAGTGGTAAAAACATTATTGTAAACAGATAACAATTTAGCACAAATGAGTATTACAGACAGGTCATATGGTCATTTACTGTGTTGCTGTGCTTTCAGCTGCCACCATATATATAGATACCGAAAGCGTGACACCAACGATACAAATAAATACACATCAGTAATTATTATACAGTGTAGATGGAATATATTACAAACTGAAAATCATAGTCAGTTATTCTTAGTCAATAAAAGTGAGAAAAATAAAATCAGACTTCAAAACCTAACATTTATTTTCGAAAACTGTTTAATATTCATTTCAGTTCATTTCTTACTGGTAATTCAATTTAATTTCCATGTTGAGGCCCCCCCCCCCAAACCTAAAGTGCCCCAGCCTCCCAGGTCTAAATCCGGCCATAAGATAAGAGATAAGATTTCGTTCGGATTTTTAACCCCGGAGGGTTAGCCACCCAGGATAACCCAAGAAAGTCAGTGCGTCATCGAGGACTGTCTAACTTATTTCCATTGGGGTCCTTAATCTTGTCCCCCAGGATGCGACCCACACCAGTCGACTAACACTCAGGTACCTATTTGCTGCTAGGTGAACAGGACAACAGGTGTAAGGAAACGTGTCGGAATGTTTCCACCCGCCGGGAATCGAACCCGGGCCCTCCGTGTGTGAAGCGGGAGCTTTAGCCACCAGGCCACCATGATCAAAACTAACCACTAAACCCACAAGAGATGTCAAATACGTAAGCCCAACATCAAGGAGACGGTTTTCATTTCAATGAGTCCATGGAAATTGTTCATTAGAATTACGAATATGTGGCATACGAGTGTCTTTGGGCAAGTGTCCAGGGCGTTTCAAATATCAAGATTCAAGCCACGTTAACACAGTAACAAAACTGTGTTAGTCCCTTAGTAACTGCCAAGTGGCAACCATCCCCTCCTATTCCCCTCCCCATCACCCTCCCCCCAGTAACAACTAATTACTTACCCCCCAAACCCCTCCACCAGCAGCCAACCCCCCAATCCTTCTCCTAACGACCTTCCCCCTCCCCACAAACAACCACTGACGTCATAACCCCCCCCTCCTCCAGGTCAATGGCGCCATTTAGCCATGGAGGTCAAGAATAGTGGCGCCACTAGTCACTCCTCTGCCATCCACCACACCATCAACACCTCCAGTTCTTCCAGTCCCATCACCCTGTGGTAATTTAAAAAAAAAAACTTGGATTACTCTAATTTCATAGTAATTTTTGATAGATCAGCTTTGAAAATATTTTTGCAATTTTTCTTTCTACAAACTGTTGAAGGAAGCATAGACTACAAACTGTCGTTTACTTCAGTTCATAAATCTAGTAATGTCCATACTTTTATCTTTGCAGATATTGTTTTGGGGGTGTTGCTGCCGTTGACATCACTGAAGACTTGCAGCTGCCCACAACATGGACTTCACCACACAGCAGCTGCCCACAACATGGACAATATCTTCAACCTACAAGATTCGATAAACTTAAGAGCAGTAATCAAAATGTAATAAATAGTCTTTACTGTAAAAAAAAAAAATGTTCAAGGAACACACAAAAGGTGTTCAAAGAACACAAAAAGGAAATAAATGAGACAAGCCTCAACTGCTGTATTTGTCAGCAGGAAAACATTCACACAATTCGGGAGCTTTAAGCTCGAGGAAAAAAAAAAATATTGCTACCCCAACCCTACTAACAATAATAGTAACGAGGCGGATAGCCTCAATACTGCTATTATTAGTAGTTTGAGGTATGATACATTTTTAAAATTTCCACGTATTGTACATGACTATCTCCACTGCAAACACTTCCACGTGAACAACAACCTTCTAACACACACTGTTACGATCACCTCTTGTCTCCAGTGTTCTGTCTTGTTTGTCAGGAAGATTCTGCGGCAATTAAAAAAGATGGAGGGTAAACTCCATAATATGCATTACAACCTAACCAAGTCTTCTCTTAATATCCCTTAAATATAGGAGTCTAACTGGGAAAAAAAATCCAACTTTCACTGCTCTCCTGAATCAAACCTGACTGAATTGTTTTGGGGGATGGGGACAGGTCGATGAAAGTCAGTTTTACATGCATGCACATTTTACTTGTGTAAATTTCCCATAACTAAATATATTATCCATAGGGTTATACACAGCTTGGGGAAATGTTAGGCAATCAGGTTGGATCCAAGGAAGGGGATGGTACTTGCAACTGATTGTATAGACACCTTCACTAGTACAAAGACACCCCTTGAAGGGCATCCAAATTCAACATGGTAGTTAGGATCATTAAGACAACAGTATTTCCCCTTCACTTCCACGTCCTTCATAGCAAACTAGACTAACAACCAACACTGGGTGTCTAACCAGTTGGAGGCCTGCCGTATACCAGTTTCCTAACACTTCTATGCTAGCCTGAATTCATAACCTACCTTACCTGCCAGTTATGGCTGGCATCCTAGGCACAACCTAAGGACCAATACATTCAAGCGCCCCCCCACTATTTTTCTGGATTTCTAACCCAGCACGGTTAATAATCCTATTACCACTAATACCAATCTTAAATCTCCCCCCCCCCACTATACTCATCTGATGTTAGTGAATCCTTTCTGCCGAGTAACACTTCATTTCAGACAAAAGTTTTCATCATTAACATCTGCTGTCAGCAGCGTTAGACTTTTGTAAGTAGTAAATATCAAACTAACTGTAATTCTGAACGCTAATACTTTTTATATTCATAGGAACCTGAAGGTAGCTTAAATTTTCCAAAATGACGAAATTGTGTAAACTCAATGAATCAATATTTAACTTTGTACAGTTTGGCCAAAGGCATAAAATACGTAGAACACCCACCGCAACCACTACCCAAAGCCCGAAACCCACCAAAATCCCCACAAAAACCACGTGCAATAACAGATTCCACACAGCTTCTGAAGGTCGTTGGTGGGTTCCAAGGCCCACAGTTCTACGTAATCTATGCCTTCGGGGGAGATTACTCTCCCCTGCTATATGCATTCATAATGCATATAGCAGATTCTCCAGTTCTATTCTTACCCTAACTACCTAAATATATAAAACTACTTACAATACACTTAAGGAAACCAACAATGGAGAAAATTCGAGACGATCTTTTGGTTTCTCTTGGACGAGTATCAAGTCAAACCAAGGGTCAAAAAGTATAACAGACAAGACAGGTCGCAAAAACCATGGACGGATGGGGATGAAATGACAAAGGACGTCAGGCGACCCATTTCAGAAAAATCCAAATAAAACTGGCTAATGAACAGACCATCTTTATGCAAGCGTTGGAGGGTTAAGTTGCCAAATTAACTCCAATTAGTCTCAAGACCTCGTGATTACCTCTGCCTCTGCTAAGTGACAGATAGCTAATCCCCAAGCGAACATTTCCATATACTCTCAAATCTCTTACCAACTTGTACCTATACACATTATATGTAAAACATAACTTCAAGACTAAGGCCAGTCAGTCGAAAGTAGTCTCAAGAACAATCTATGGTTATCCATGACAGTTAAGTTTCCTCCCAAGTGTCATTTAATTAGTAAACAGAACATTAGACTATGTCCAAAGACAAAACATGACGGATAGAAAACGCAAATACTCAGCCCAGGATTCACAAAACCACAGAAAACCATCGTGCAATGAACTAGATCCACACGTTTTGCAAGGTCGTTAGGTGGGTTCACAAGCACAGTTCACGTCAGTCTAGTCCTCGGGAGATGCGTCACCTCTGACCCTGTATATGCAGTATAAGCATCAAGCGAAATTCTCACGAGTTTTATCTTACATTCCGACTTACCAACTGGCTATATCACAAGTTATATTGAGTGAAAACAATAATGTAGACCAAAGTGTTATATATGTACACAACAGCAGATACCAAGTATAGGCTTATAATTGTGCAGAGGCAGGGGCAAGGCGGAAAGTGGATGTCAAAGCGAGATCAAGGGTAGTCGAGGCGAGATCAAGGGTCGAGGCGAGATCCAAGGAGTCGAGTCAAGGGAGCAGTCGAGACAAGGGAGTCGAAGGCAGATCAAGGAGTCGAGGCGAATCAAGGGAGTCGAGGCGAGATCACGGAGTCGAGCGAGATCAAGGAGTCGACGTAGCCAAAGGGGAAGTCGAGGCGAGATCAAGGAGAAGTCGAGGCGAATCAAGGGAGTCGAGGCGGATCACAGGGAGTCGAGGCGAGATCAGGGGAGTCGCAGGCAGATCAAGGGAGTCGAGGCGAGATCAATGGGAGTCGAGGCGAGATCAAGGGAGTCGAGGCGAGATCAGGTAGTCGAGTCGAGATCAAGGGGATCGAGCGAATTCAAGGGATCAGGGTGATACATAGTGAGTCGAGCGAGTCAAGGGACGAGCCTAATCTAAGGGTATCGAGCAGATCAAGGGGATCGAGTCGAGATCAAAGGGTATATCGTAGCGAGATCAAGGAGTCATGCGCAGATCAAGGATCAGGCGTATTCAATGGAGTCGAGAGCGAGGCAAGGGGAGTCGGGCGAGATCAAGGGGATGTAGGCGAGATCAAGGGGAGTCGAGGCGAGATCAAGGGGAGTCGAGGCGAGATCAAGGGGAGTCGAGATCAAGGGGAGTCGAGGCGAGATCAAGGGGAGTCGAGGCGAGATCAAGGGGAGTCGAGGCGAGATCAAGGGGAGTCGAGGCGAGATCAAGGGGAGTCGAGGCGAGATCAAGGGGAGTCGAGGCGAGATCAAGGGGAGTCGAGGCGAGATCAAGGGGGACTCTGGGTAATATCAAAGGGGTCTACAAAGTCTCCGTAAATATATACTGTATAACCCAATTTCAAAAATTCTCCCCCCCCCCCCCCAAGATGCTCTAATACAGACTCTGGAGTCGTAAGCGCTAAACCTAAGCTTGAAATTACTTGGCCAGGCCCTCTACAACCCTACTGAAAATAAATGTGGCTAATTCCACATTTCTGAGGAATTATTGATTTTTCCGGCTATAATATATTCTGCCCGAGGAAAAATTATCCCGCCCGTCATGTGAAGCTAAAACTTTGGCTGTGTAGTTTTAAAAATAGGTTAGACAAATGAGTGGTTGAGAGTTGGATCTGCCTAACATGGGTCAATAGGCCTGCTTCAGTGTTCCTTTGTCTTAATAATGGATATGCCTGATTTAATAGGCTTTCCTTACACCCGGCATCAAGACCTTTACCATTGCCCTCACCACACTAAACTATATCAGTATAATTATTAACCCAGTAGATTAACACAATTACACAATCAAGTCAGGATGACATCTATGACATCTTTATTAGGGTATTTATGCTCCCCCAGGATGCGACCCCTACCAGTAGGCCTGCTCCAGTGTTCCTCCTCTATATGAACAGTGGTAATGGATATAATGGAACATGCCCACTTGTGCCCGGGATCGAATCTCGGTTCTTCAGTTGACGCCACTACCAACTGAGCCGTGACATTTCACACATTTCATCTCTACTTCCTACAATCTTCCAGGATGGGTATATAGGCAGCATAATGAAGATATTATACTAAAACTTCCAAAAATCTAATCAATCTTCAAGTCTAAGTTTTACAACCCATTTCTCCATTTTTTATTTCCACATCATTCAAGGTAACCTATAGAATACATTCCTCAATATTTCCTGACCAGAGATTTCATCTCTGGTCGGGAGATAAGCTAATACTTCCCACTAAGGTACTTCTTATATCAATTGCATACAATCTTTCCTATACTCTCCCCACCACTTTCACACCTAATACAATCACTATCTGCTTCAATAACCAAACTTTAGTGGACTTATAACCTGGAAATACCTTACAAGTGGGCCCTGCCCACCTCTAACGACGTCTCCGACTGCTATCTTTTTCTTTAATAAATATTTCTTTCACATGGACCTGATGACTAACAATTTGTTTATATGGAAGTCTATATCTAGATCACAAGGCGCAAGTTCCTTGGATCAAGAGACCTTCAATAAGCTATTTTTCAATGAGAAAAAATAGCCCAGAACTGGATACACCATTATGGGTTATGTAACGCCTAGTATGAGAGTTATAGTTTGATCAGAGGAAGGGGAGTAGCTCCAGTTCCTCGCATCAAAACCCCTCCACTAAGGTCAATCACCCCCGCCCCCTTCCAAGACATTAGACCCCCAAAAATTAAGACTAAAATATTAATAATTTGACCAAACTGGTGGTGGGGACCAGGAGCTGCAGCTCAACTCTGCTGTTGTACTGACAAATACGTCACCAGACAATACTTACGTTATTTAGGTGTATTAAAAGGATGATGAAGCGGTAAAGCCGGCGGGGATGGCAGGAGGAGAAGCAACATATCTCTTCTGTACGACCACTGAAGTTCAACTGACCTTTAGTAACCTTGAGGTTGGTCACTGTCCTAACCTTCACTATAACACTATTACTGATAACCTGACTAACTCCACTACCATCACTAGATGCCACTACTACACCACCACTAGATGGCATCACTATCAGTACTACTAATGGTGGAGCGCTCAACCCGTGGGGGTCATGGACCACCTGGGAGGATAAGTTCACTCCCAGGTGGCATAGATCACATTCCTTGGATGTGATCTATGCCACAACGGTACAACTAGGCATAGTGGATGTACAGGCATACCTGGAGGGTGTGTTCCTGGACTTGAAGGGGCCATTTCGCTCTGAATTAGACAAACTAAATTAGTTTAAGATATAAAGGAGTATAAGAAAATTGAATAGTTAAATAAAATGGCTGGAACAATTCACAACCCACAACTTAGATATGAATTTAGACGACGTTTAGGTCCGTTCTAAATATACCAAAGCGCAACATTTATCTCTACATTAAACCACATTCACCTGATGTAGGTTCTTCGACAATTAAGAGGCCTACACCGTTTTTGGGGTTGGATTTTGTTAGTCGGGGATACTTCAAACAAAAATAAATGATACGTGAACTCTGAGCTCATATATACGAATAAACATACATCTCTCACTATATAGACGAGCGTCCAGTTTTAATTTATCATCTTTATTATGTCAGGGGCCCAAGACTCTTCAACTGCCTCCCAGCATACACGAGAGGGATTACCAATAGACCCCCTGGCTGTCTTCAAGCAGGAACTGGGCAGGCACGTAAAGTCAGTGCCTGACCAGCCGGGCTGTGGTTTCGTACGTCGGGTTGCGTGCGGCCAACAGTAACAGCCTGGTTGATCAGGCCCTGATCCACTATGAGGCCTGGTCACAGACCTGGCAGCGGGGGCGTTGATCCCCGGAATTTTCTCCAGATATGCACCCCATACCCATCCTGTAGGAGGTAGTCATAAGATTACAGAGGTACATAATGGGTCCAGGAACTGGGCCACAAAGTTTTGATAGCTGAACAGTTACATGTCTATATCTGGTCACAATCGTAATGAGTTATTTGTGCAAACATTAATTAGGTCACACACACGATGTTAGGGAGTATTTCTTCAGTCATAGAGTAGTCAGGAAGTGGAGTAGTCTAGCAAGCGAGGTAGAAATCATACATAGCTTCAAGATGAAGTATGTAAAAGCTCATGGAGCAGGGAGAGAGAGAGAGAGGACCTAGTAGCACTCGGTGAAGAGGCGGGGCCAGGAGCTGAGTATCGACCCCTACAACCACAATTAGGTGAGAACGAGCGTCCAGGGAAGTGTCTTACACGCTACTTCCTAGCTTGACTGGTAGACAATACTCTCCTTCCTGCATCACTACACCTCTCCTGATACATTATTCTCTGACGTCACTTTCAATGTTGTACTCGCACAATATGGTCAGACCTGTGCTATTTTACATCATACATTACATATACACAGAGTAGTGTATATTTGTCTGCAACTTCATATTTATTTTATTCTCTGTTACAGGGAATAAAGTATATATATTTAATATAAATGAAGAGGTGTATTGTAGCCTTAATGGCTCACTTATAGTCGCCAAAAAATGGTTGTAATTATAACTTCCAGTGAGTAAAACGACACAAGTGCAACTAATGTGACAGTTTTATTGTGGCAACGTTTCGCTCTCCAGGAGATTTGCCAAGCCGTATTGTTAATATACAACTTCTGTGCCTTTTTCAACTGTTGATATGTTTCTTGGGCATTTGAGGGTTTAAGCTAAAGCTCCTGAGACTTTTGAAAGTATTGATCTCCAGCACCTGGACCACTTTGCAAATAAGTTTATTTAGGTTCAGGTAAACATAAGTGCGATTATCATACATAACTGGACAGGCACCTAAATTCAGTTCCTGACCAGCTGGGCTGTGGTTCATGTCAGTTTGCATGCGGCCAGGAGTAACAGCCTGGTTGATCCACTACGAGGACTGGTCACGGACCGGGTTGTGGGGGCGTTGACCCCAGAACACCCTCCATGTACGTGTAAATTACCTAGGATAACCAAAAAGGCTCTTAGTTCTCTCAAGGGTATCAAACCGCAGCGCCTCTTGTATACACTGAGGTGGTTTAGAAAGACACGTAAGCAAACACTATAACATATTTATTAGAAAACGTTTCGGTCCTGGGACCTTGATCATTAGAAGTGATCAAGGTCCCAGGACCGAAACGTTTTCTAATAAATATGTTATAGTGTTTGCTTACGTGTCTTTCTAAACCAACTTGTCGGTATTTATTACCAAGGTTTATACCATACACTGAGGTACAATGGGCTGGCATAATGGCATTATGGGATATGTATCTTTGATCATGTAATATCCATAACTTATCTAAATTGAACAGTATTTTATATTATTATTATAATCAAGGGGAAGCGCCAAACCCGGAGGATTATACAGCGCCTTGGGGGGGATGTGGAAGGCATTCAGGGTTAATTCGGGGAACTGGAGCACAGATCCAATTCCCTAAATCAAGAGCCCCTCACCAACATCAAGGAACCTTCCTTGAGGGGAACACTATTTTAGATACACTGAATAGCGATATAGTTTCTCGTCAGCATGAATTCTAACATGTTTGAGTAAGTTATATTTACTGAAAAGTATTGTAGGCACTGAAAGTTGATATAGTTTCTCGTCAGTATGAATTCTAATGTTTAAAGAAACTGAATTTGAAAATTCTTTTAGATTTACTGATCATATATTTTTTTTTTCCATAGTATGAATTGCAATGTACTATACTGTATAATATTCCTTAGGTATCTCCTGATTTTTTTCTTCCTCCAAGTTTTGCATTTATAACTTGAAATGCCACATCCAGTCAGCTTCAAACCTTCAACACTGGCATTTCCTACCTAGGAAGAGGTAGAGATTGTAATTGAATTATAAAAAGGAAGCACCAAACCCACCAGGGTCATACAGCACAGGATTGTAAATGGAATGTGTAGAGATGTAGATTTCAAATCTGCCATTTGTATTTTTAATATGATGCACATTATTAACCAAAACTATGCACTAAACCCACCAGGGTCATACAGAATGATATAAATTTTTCATAAAATATATGGCCCGGTTTGGGACCAGGCCATGGGGGCAGTGACCCCTTAAGTTGACTACAGGTAACCTACCTCTTCTGAATGGCTTCAGTCTTTATTAGTTCATGCATTATGTACACAGGATATTATTATAATAAAAAAGTACGTATACACAGGGATAGTACCCAGTATATTTAGGCTTTGTAGATGGAAGTTTTCATATTTCTAGAACTTCTGCAGTTAATCAACTAGTTATTGGTTGATATCCAGGATTTCCAATAGTTAGAAAGCTTGAAATTGAATTAATTTTTTGGTTTACCTGGAGAGGGTTTTGGGGGTCAATGCCCCCACGGCCCAGTCTGAGACCAAGCCTCATGGTGGATCAGGGTCTGATCAACCAGGCTGTTGCTGCTGGCCACACACAAGCTGACATACAAACCACAGCCTGGTTGATCAGGTACTGACTTTAGGTGCCTGTCCAGTGCTTTCTTGAAGACAGCCAGGGGTCTATTGGTAATCCCCCTTATGTATGCTGGGAGGCAATTGAATAGTCTTGGGCCCCGGACATTTATTGTGTTGTCTCTCAGTGTACTCGTGGCACCCCTGCTTTTCATCGGGGAAATGTTGCATCTCCTGCCGAGTCTTTTGCTTTCATAGGAAGTGACTTTCGTGTGCAGGTTTGGTACCAAACCCTCCATGTATCTCTCTCGCCTGCGTTCGAGGAAATACAGATCAAGGACCTTCAACCATTCCCAGTGGACCTTCAACCGTTCCCAATGGTCTAGGTGCCTTATTGCACTTGTGTGTGCCGTGAAAGTTCTTTGTACACTCTCCAGGTCTGCAATGTTGCCAGCCTTGAAGGGGGTTGTTAGTGTACAGCAGTATTCCAGCCTAGAGAGCACAAGCAATTTGAAGAGAATCATCATGGGCTTGGCATCCCTAGTTTTGAAGGCTCTCATTATCCATCCTATCATTTTCCTAGCAGATGAGGTAGATACATTGTTGTGGTCTTTGAAGGTGAGATCCTCTGACATTATCACTCCCAGGTCCTTCACATTACTTTTCTGCTCTATTGTATGGTTAGAATTTGTGGTATACCCTGACACATTTTTAATTTCTTCAAGTTTTCCATATCTGAGTACATAGTTGAAATTTCTCCTCGTTGAACTTCATATTGTTTTGAATGGCCCATTCAAAGATTTGGTTGATGTCTGCTTGGAGTTTCGCAGTGTCTTCAATGGAAGTCACTGTCATGGTGATCCGGGTGTCATCCGCAAAGGAAGACACGGAGCTATGGCTTACATATCTGTCAGAAATGAGGATGAGGAATAGAATGGGAGCGAGTACTGTGCCTTGTGGAACAGAGCTGTTAAAGATGTGTTTTCTTCAAAGGATGCTTTGTATTGCTTTTGGGGTGTTTTAATTTTCCAATTTTACTAAACTGGTTTCCATTCAATAATTGGATAATACAATTTCAGATCAAACTCAAACCTAGATGTTGGTGTATTGTTTTTAGAGAAAGATTTGAATTTATTTTGGGCTGTATAGGTGCTAGTTTTATTGAAGACTCAGAAAATTGAAATATTGTACAGTGGAACCTCGGTTTTCGTCATTAATTTGTTCCAGAAAGTCTGACGAAAACTGAATTCGATGAAAACTGAAGCAATATTTCCCACAAGAAATAATGTAAATCCAATTAATCCATTCCAGCCACCCAATTATTATTATTATTATAATAAAAAAGAAGTGCTAAGCCACAAGAACTATACAGCTCCAGCCACCCAAAAGTATTAACAAAAAATACATTTTATAGAGAATAACTATAGTTTTACATACAGAAAACAATGAGAAATAAATATAAAGGACTAATGAAATGGATAAACGAACATTTAATATCACCTTTACCTTTATTGAAGATTCTTGTTGGCGTATGGAAGACCCGAGAAGGGGAGAGGGAGGATGAGAGGTTATTGGTTGGAAGGGAAATCCTCCTCCAGGAGAACTTTAGGTATCAAGTCGCCTATCCAGAGTTACTTCCCTTCTTTGTCTTTTACTGGCACTGGACCCCTGTCGCACAAAAAAATCTGTCCAGGTCTGTTTCTGACGTCTCTAAGATTTGCCTAAAATGTGACAAGACATTGTCACTGAACATGTTCCAAACACAGCTTGCAACAGCTTTGTTAGGGTGATATTTCTCCACAAAACTTTGCAACCCATTCCACTTTGCACACATGTCCTGAATCACTGAAGAAGGCACATTCTCCCCTCTCTCTTCCTCCTCCTCTGAAGCAATTTCCTCAGAGGTGATCTGTTGCTGTTCCAGTTGAAGGTGTAGCTCTTCAGTGGTTAGCTCTTCCCTGTGGTCGTCCACCAACTCTTCCACATCCTGGCCACTCACATCCAACCCTACGGACTTCCCCAAAGTCCCATGGTGGCTTATTTAGAAGTCGCACTCAATAAACAAGCACAAAAAACATTGGATATTACGAAATGTTTCGGATGAATGCTCAGGGTAATGCTCACTCAATGAGAAACAAAGCCAGACTGACTCGAAACGTGTGGGATGCTTTGTGTTGGCGCTGGCAGGCAGACACGTTCGGTACAGCAGACCAACGAAAACTGGGACGAAATTTTGACGAAAAAATTGTTGAAAACCAAATTCGACAAAAACCAGGGCAAATGAAAATCGTAGTTCCACTGTAATGGTTCTTAGGTAATAATTTGCAAATGTCTAATTTGACTGGGTTCAAGCCTTTAGTGCTGTTAATTTTAAGAATGCAATTTCTGAGCAACTTCAAACTTAAGATGTTGATGCTTTTGAGTATTGGTCTCTGTGCAAAACTAGGAAGTGCCTCTTCTGATTAGCTTGAAACATTTTAAGCTGGTGTATCATAGGGCAAGGGATTGGGCTATGTATGTACCTATTTGTTGCTTTATTGAAGAAATTGGGATAACACATTCCATGTGATAACTTGTGAAAGCCTCTTCTGATATGCTTTAAATCCTCATCACTTATATTTAACTGTACATATTAGAAAGATGTCCACAATTTGTATTTCCTGCCTTGGAGCTGGATTTCATAAAAAAAAAAAAAAATTCCCCACTAATGAGATCAAATAGAGGGATGGAGGGTTGGGGGGGTAAATTTGATCTAAGGAATGAGACAAGAGGTCCAGTCAACTGATCAAGAGCCTCTTTGCTATAGTTTAGAAGCCCTCTTGAAAGTGAAGAAAGATCATGATCTCCACTATGAATAAATAATCATATTTAAAATGCTCTTTGGATTACATTTTTTCTGTGAACTATATGAACATTATTCTCAGTAGTGCTTCAGATTTTTGTCACACATTCCATGTGATCATAATTATAATGCACTAAAATATTTTGGGACATTTGAGCAAGTATCTTCATTATTTAAATATGCACCTTTAATTTAAATGGATGAAAGGAAGTAAATAAATAAAACAAGAGATTAAATTAATTTAATCTTCAGATGTAATTACAATAAAAAAAATATTATTACAAAGTAATGGTAAATTATCAACCTACATTTCTATTAAAATAATGCATAAATTATTCAAAAATGCTATAACTTAAAGTACACACTGGAATGTTGGCCATTCAACATAATAGTGTGTGAAAGCCAGTAAACATTATTCATGTCTGCTTCTCAACACAGGACGTTCTGAGATCAGTCAGTACACAAGTGAGAGTAATTAATGCAAGCTGGTAATATAGGACACACAACAGGTTTTTATAGAACAGTATCACCCTGTGCTTCTAAAGCACTTATATAGGGTGATAACACCACAGTGGAATGAAAATTGCTTAAATTTTCATAACATGTATTCACAAAAATGTGTTAAACCCATAAGGGTTACACAATGTCATAAAATTTGTATGAAAATATACTAATGCATTTTAAAATATAAACTGAAAACCATGTGGTGTATATTGTTCACAATTCTGAAATCATTTACAATAAAGTAAATGTACAAGGCTGTACAGAATACTTATTACTGTCATTTCACATAACTGATATAACAAAAATTCTGAACACTTCTACGTAAAAAATTTACACTTTCCCATTTTCTTTAGCCTTACAAAAATTGGTTTGTCATTTACATTAATTAACCATGCTTAATCACTTAAACTGGTGTAAGACTCTAATTATATTTTGTAACTGTTTTGTATAAAGACCAGAAAAAAAATTGCATATATGTTATGCATGTGTATGTGATTACTTGTGTGTTATTAGAGGCATAGGGTTACTTAATATGCTCATGGTGTCCCATTTTCTTTTTCTTGTTCATAATTTTAAACTTTGTGTGTAACATGCAGCCTTCTGGAGCTCATGACATTCACCAACTGCTCTGTAAATACTGTACTCTCTACCTCCTTTAAGGGAATTGATTATTATGCCTTTTTTTTCATCTCCAAGATACATTTTGAAATTTCAGTCTTTCTTCAGAGCTCATATATTATAATCCTGGAATTAATTTTCTTGTGTGTCTGTCTAGTTTTTCTAGTTTTCTGGTAGAACAATATTATGGATCAGAAGAGAATGCACTAACTGCTACAACCACTGGAAATGTTAAAAAAAATTATATATTATAAGCTGAAGATGGGACACCATGAGTATAGTTTTGCTCCTGTAGCTACAAAATAGGTATAGTAATCACAAACAGGTGGACCTATGAAAACAAAATCTATATCATATAGCAGCTGTGATCAATACCATAATTAATGGATTGCATATGCTGTAAATACTTTAAATGCTTTTTCCATATTGTCAGTAATATGGTTATTATTTTTGTCTTTTACCACACTGGCAGTTTTCCATCATGGTAGTGTGACCCAAAGAAGGAAACATTATTATATTCCCCCCTCCCCCCCCCCCCCAAAAAAAAAAAAAAATACTATAACTGTGTGGGTCACATCTGAATATATTAATAGACCACTGCAGTAGTTTATTGGCCTATGCTTGACAGGTCCAATGCACACCAAACCACACCCACTCATAAACCCAACCCACTCACAGTACTTTTAAAACCAACCAATGATGTTATTTGAGAGTTTATTGCACTTGTCAGCACTGGTTATGTAGTGGAGAAGTATTCACATCAAATCAAATCAAAGGCAGGTTCATATGATAAAGAAGCTAGAGTTAGTGTATTAAGTTAGCTTCAATTACAAATTCAAGTGTATGTGCAATGAAAGTCCCATTCTTGTTGGGTACTGAAAGCACTTGGCTTATAAAGATCCTTTTATCCAAGGGTGTTGTGTCCAAGCTATCACCTATCCAGTTAGTGGCCTGTGTAAAAGTACTTTAACGAATGGTACAGTATGAACATCCAAAGTATAAAAGTATCTTGAAGTTAGCTTAAAAGTTACCTAAAGTTGCATATATAACTTTTAATTATGTACAGTGATCCCCTGCTTAATGACTGTTTGGAAAACGTAATCTCACATAACCAAAATACCTAGGACCATTTCCTGTTTAATGACCATCTCCTGATCATTTACCAGCCAAATTCCAGGCTGCAGGCCATCACTACCCTCACTCGGTCCCATGATTAATGACTGCTTCCTTGTACAATGACCAGATAATTTTTATAAATACATAGTTTATCATCTTACAGGTTTCCCCCTCCTCCCTCTGTGGGGAAGGGAGGGAGCACCTGCAAACAGTGGCTATGAGTGAGATGTGTGTGCCCAATTCTCAATAGATAGTCATCTCAAAGTGATGATTCTTGTTGAAAGGGAGGATGGCCAAGCACCCACATCTTGCCAAGCCCTGTATATTGTAACTTGCTTCTTATCTGTAATAATAAAATAATGCTAAACACTAAACCTGTAAGGTTATACAGCTTCTTGTCTGTAGGGCTCACTGGGCCTGCCACTTCCAGAGGACATATCATTTTATATGGCTCATGAAATCACTGCGAGACAGAAGTCTGCTATAGAGAGAGAGCGTAATGGCAGCCTTCACTTTAGCATCTACCCTTGTATTTTCAAGGACACCAACATTGCCTGGGCACTGACAGGACTCCACATCCTTGTGCCATGCATGGAGACGAGCTTATCACTCTTGGATCTTCTGCACTACATGGTAGACAAACATACTGGACAAGGGCAAAAAGAGCACACTGGGAAAATGAGTAGAGTGCATCGAGATTTAACTAAGCCAGCTAACAGGACAAAAACATCAAGGATTGCATGGATCTCTGCAATAAAGACTTGCTTAGTAATAGCACAATGAGAGTCCTCACCAGTGATCAAAAAACCAACAACACCCCTCACTCTTTAACCTGTCAGTAAAAACCTTTATTGTTGAAGCATGAACAAAATAATGCCGTAACAACATGACCCAAGCTTGGCACTTAGGGCTTTCTATCCACTGCCTACATAGATGTACCTCAGGTACCATTCAAGGAAAGCAGCAAAAGAAGTCATCCTCTCTGACAGCAGACACATCACTGTCACAATCCAAGAGAGCAGCTTGAATCTAAACACCAAATGGCAAAGAAGTCTTACACACCAAAGGGATCTTCTCGATATTCTCTGAAGATCAAAGCACAAGCTGGGTTGCCAGGTACATGCCAAACCCAAAACAATTAGCAAAGATCCAGCCTCTCATGGCAGAGATCCAGGAAAAGCTCACCAGACTTAACATGGAAACTCTTGACAGAAAAGTATGGAATGCACCTATGCAAAGCCATATCCATAGGTTATGAACAGGATTTAACTAGAGCAGAAGGGAAGAGCTGGCCAAGTAGAACTGGTAGCCATAATCTAGCCTGGAATGCCATGAGGCTGCATATAGGAGGAGCATGGTCTGCCAATCTGCCCCTAACAGGGGCTGTTCACTAATAGAACATAATTTAAACATCATGATTTAAAAGTAAAATTTTAATTTTAAGAGCAAATACTTTTGATATTTTTCAAGTCTGTGACAAATATTAAAGCCTATTCATAAACAAAATGATGAATTATGCTTGACTAAGACTACTTAGATAATTTCACTTAGCTAAGTTATTGGAAACTGTGTAGATGGTAGAATCAGTGATGGCATTTACTGATATATCTATTTTATTAGCTGAATTTAAGTTCTGTAGGTGGGAAGTACAGAGCCTGGACTCTGAAGGATGAGTAGTTAATCTGCACTACAGAGGGTTATTTTAATTGTGATGTCTTTACACTTCCGATAATATAGCCAGTGAATGAAAGATGGTGATTGTGTTTCCCTCTTTGAGTTGATCTGCCTTGGTAGAAAACAGCTAATGTAAAAAAAAATAAATCATCTGAAAAAATCAAAAGATTGCAGTCTCTTGGGTAGTACAGAATGTCTTTGTTGCAGTTTTGAGCTTCATGCGCATTACTATGTGACCAATACAGCATCCTTCCATATGGAGTGATTCCTTATTTCTAATACAGTATAAAATACTGTACTAGGGTTATGAACTAGCATTTATATAAATATACAGTATGTATCATTATTTGCCTTTAAATAGTATTAATAAATCTATTTACCTAGCTTAAATTCATAATAAAGTTTGAGTTTAATTATCAACACTGAATTATGAATGGATTGGGCATGAGTCTTCTTTGCCTTATTTATTAATGTTCTCAACAATTACTTACAAATAAGAAGCATATATTTCTTCATAGAACAATAACATACAATAACGTTTCATGCACACTTATAATCCTAAGAATTCTAGTTATCAGACACAGATATGATGCTACCGTATTTAAGGGCTTTGATGCCACAAGAATTCTTCATACTTTGTATGAGTGAATACACATAAATGTAAAATACCTGGTAATAATAACAACGGTAGCAGAGACTCCTTTTAATATGTTTCATCAAAAGCTTGGATAAAACCTGATGTTAAAAGGATTCTCTGCTATCAGTGCCTATTTTCACTTGTCAGCTTTTGTCAATGCCTGTGTAAAATACCTAATGTGTTGATAGGGGTTCAATCAGTTTCCACAATTTTGAAGTTTGCAAGTAAATCAATAGTTTTTTCCATTACACTACTTAATTTGTAATCTTTCAGTGAACATCATAATTTCCTGTGAAATCACATACAAACTCTTCATAGACACATGTGGAACCCACTGGTGTCAGGACTAGAGAACCATCTGCTTAACCTAAGTAAGCACCCTTAATGGCCAACTTGGTATGGTACTTCCTATTATTTATACTAGCATGAACCATACCACACTATGCCTACAATATTCAGCCAATACAGGGTACCCCTTTCTTCCTTTGTCATGCCAGGTCAGATTCCCAAAGGATCTATATGAACCTGTCTGGAGTGAATCAGATAGTAACTCGGCTATTTGCAGCAGAGAAGTTTTGTGCTGTTGCCATTGCCTGATACATACATTGTTTATTGCAGTGTCTTGAGACAAACCTAAAAAATGTAAGTGTCCCAACAGGAACTGCTGCTGATACAATCCCCAGAAATATGGCTCAAAGTAATTACCTATTTGCAATTATGTACAAACTTGTAGCTACAGCAGAACACAGCCTGTGGCATCCCATCTTCAGAAATCTATCATAAAGCTTTCTAAACAAGATTCCATCAGTTGTAGAACTTACTTCCTTTTCTTGTAACCCTTTTAATTATTCTACTATTCTATTAGTGTCCATTCAGGACCTCTTCTTTGTTAATTTTTTAATAATGCTTCTAGTTCTCCATGAGCTATGTGTTAGAAAGCCTTCTCTATCAACTTTTCTTATCTTTTTATATTCTTACATGTGGTTATCATGTCATCTCTTTTCCTCCAGTCAGCCAAAGACAGCAAGTCTCAGCCTTTCTTTGTATTTTTTTGTTTTTAGTTTTGGAAGCTGTTTTGTAACTAGCCTTTGGACATTTTACTTATTCACATGTTTTGTTTAGGTGCAGACACCATACCACTTCTGCGTATTCCATTGCTACTCTAGTGTATGTGTGTGTCATTCATTTTAGGCAGAGTCAGTCAAGCAAACCAAACTACCCTAATAATAGATTCTTTAAAAATTGTGTGTTAACAGATATACAGTATTTTACTTAGGTAATATATGTAAAACTTATTTTACAGCAAAATTAACTTAGTAACCTTAGCTTTCACTGCTTAAGTTTAATCCTGCCAAATTTATCTTAGGTCAGCCTAAATTTAGTTAAAATTATTTATCAATGAAATAAGATTATTTTCTTAAGATGTGACTGATTTTAGTGGAGCTATTTCAACACTTTAGACTTGGCTTGTGTGGCACAATGATGGTTGCATTATAAACCAGAATTGTTTTGCTTCTAAAGTATGTTTTCATGTGCAAATCAGCATGTGTACATGTATGCATGTACTGTGTATATATCTATGTGCATGTTTGTGCATATATGTGTGTATTGTAGGTAGTAGGTTAGTAGATAGCAACCACCCAGGGGGGTACTACCGTCCTGCCAAGTGAGTGTAAAACGAAAGCCTGTAATTGTTTTACATGATGGTAGGATTGCTGGTGTCCATTTTTCTGTCTCATGAACATGCAAGGTTTCAGGTACGTCTTGCTACTTCTACTTACACTTAAGTCACACTACACATGTACAAGCATATATATACACACCCCTCTGGGTTATCTTCTATTTTCTTACTAGTTCTTGTTCTTGTTTATTTCCTCTTATCTCCATGGGGAAGTGGAACAGAATTCTTCATCCGTAAGCTATGCGTGTTGTAAGAAACGACCAAAATGCCAGGAGCAAGGGGTTAGTAACCCCTTCTCCTGTATAAATTACTAAATCTAAAAAGAGAAACTTTCGTTTTTCTTTTTGGGCCACCCCGCCTTGGTGGGATACGGCTGGTTTGTTGAAAAAAAAAAGTGTGTATATATCTATGTGCATGTTTGTGTATTCACGTGCATGTGTGTATATATCTATGTGCATGTAGAAAGATGTATATATGCATTCATGCATTGTATATATGTAAATGCATGCATGTAAGTTGTAATTTTTAATATACACTATTTAAAAATGTTAACTTGTACTAATATTGAAGAAATTTTTAAAAATTATTTTAATCCATATGAAGATTTCTAAACTTATTTTTTTATGAAAATCCAGCTATTTTGACCACTCTGGCTAAAACACTAGACATACACACACTACATAATAAAGCTAAAAAAGCCATGTTAAATTTATTTAAATTCTTTAAGACTATCAGTATTAATGCTCTTATTTTCCTCTTTTCAAGAAATGGAACTATTTTTCTGCAACAAATTAGAAAAGAATTTTTTCCTAAAATTCTGGAGTTAGCACAACCTAAATGGCTCAAGGCCTTATCCAACATCAAAGGATATAGATTATAGTGTTCTTCACATGCTTGAATGCATCTACAGTATTCATATGTATCACTTTCTGTTTTTAACTGTTATGTATTTTATAAAAGTTATACTCAGTTACTTTCAATGATACATTTCATATTAGCTAACTTACTAGTGATAATATTTTAAATTATGGTTAAAAATTAATAATGCTACATTACCAGACACCACACACATATTTACACAAAATTATATTCATAGTCTGACAAGATTTTTCAAATACCTTCAGAAATTAATTTTTTATCTACAGCAATTTATATCCTACTTAAGTCTGTATTTTGATACAACTTTTATAAAATAAATGTTTCTAGAAAAGGTCAACATAAACTTAGATATCACAGAAATGAGATATACTGGCTACACACATACATACTGGAGACAATATGTAAATGTACCAGACAATCCTACAGCCTTGATGAGTCAATACAAACCATGTTTAGTATAGCACAATATATGCTACTGGGAAGAACGGCATCAATGACAATAATCAAGGCTTAACTAAAATATGAGAAGTTCTTTTCAATATCTTAAAATTAGTTTTCAAGCCACCATTTGTAATATTCATATAAAAATCTGAAGCTTCTAGTTCATACAAATGTGGCATAAAACTGGTAACTATCAACAGAACTAAGGACAATTCAATTCAAGCATTCTTTACAGCCTACTACATACACTAACATACTTTCAGCACCTATTCAGACTTATAAAATTTACACCAGTAGTGTCATAACAATGCTCATAGTTATCTAAAGTCACTGCTTTAGTTATACACCTACCATCCAACTTACGACCTGCTCGACTTACGACCACTCGACTTACGACCGTGTTTTCTTTGCCAAATTTCTGGGAAATAAACAACTATGTGTGTTGTACACAGTGTTTATCCTAAACCTTACAGTATAAAATACAGTACTAACAGCATAAAAAGTAAAGTAAAACATGAAATACCAAAATAAAACAATAAAATAAAGTCATTTCAAAAATGTGATGTTGATATTCAGTAGTAAAGTTCGACTTACGTCCATTTCGACTTACGGCCAGTTTCTCGGAACCGAACTCGGTCATAAGTCGGATGGTAGGTGTATTTAACAATAAATATTTCAATATCATGAAAATTGTAAATACAAATTCTTTCTTACAAGGTTAACTCAGAAAATATGTTCGTATTGTAAAAGCTACCAACAACTTAGAATGTCACAATACTGACAAATGCCCCTATTTTTGGGAAATGGAATGATAGAGTGTTTGCATTTTCTAAAGCATCAGCCTCTGCCTAAATGGCACACAAACTATGAAAACACATCTTGAGAAAAAAAAAAAAAGAATATTTACTAAAATAAAAGCTAAAACATAATGAATATACAGCACTAATAATAATAATAATAATAATAAATAAACTCTCAGAATGTTTTTAACAACAATTTCCATTCTATAATACCATAAAATGGAAATATCAAAATAAATTTTACCTCTTCAAATAAATAAATAATCTTACCATTTCTTACTTAAAAATCTGCTGCTGGCTGGGGTCATTTTCAAATTCTGAATATGCATCATTCAATTCCATAAATATGAGTTTAGCAAGAGACTCGTGTTCTGTCCCCGTACACTGGAAAGAGAGCAGCAGTTATACTTTCAACAGTAATATACTGTACGTGTATATGCACCATGTAACATACACCCCTAATCTTCCCTATTCATTATTTTGCTCTTTACTCTTGGTACTGTACTAGAATATTGATAAAATATTTTTCAAAATTTAAACAATGCAGTACACAAATATTTTTATTACAGTCACATAAAAGAACTAAATCCATATAGGTCACACAGCAGAGGGGTGCTGACATCAGGAAGAAGAGGTCTAAAGTAAGGCTTGTGTCCTAAAGAGGAAAAGTCGAAGTTGGTATTATAGGGAAGTACCGGTCAAGAAATCACAATTTGTCTGCTCGGAAGGTAGGGCTTTCCAAGAGGGCAGCACAGTGTTAAAAGAGAAGTCAGAAATGAATTCCATGTGACCTTCGAAAAAAAAAAAGAAATAATCAAAAGGTGTTGAACTGTCAGCAAGATTTAACAATTCTCACAGGCACACCGAGCATCTCTTCATGTGCAAATCTTGGGTGTGCAATACACAGTCACAGGAGTTCTGTTTGCCCATCTTATAACTATTATGTTTATCTTGAATATCTGAAAAATATTAAGAATAAAAGCTACTTACCTTGTCTGGATGTACTGCAAGACATGCTTTACGGTACATTTTTTTAACATCATTTGGCTGAACCAGGTGATGCATGCCACACTCATTCCACTTGCAGCCTTCCCAGATAATGGCATGAAGGGAGCACAACATTGCCCGTATATTTTTCTTCTTACCTTCAGTCCATTCCATTACCTGCAAAATATACAATTTTATATTTTTTTGGAAGAATTATACAATAAGGCAGAATATACTGTCCATTTGTTGTATCAGATCAATTTTATTATTTCCTATTTAAATTAATGCTGTTTGAAATCTGCAACATTTTTACTGATATATCAAAGAAAAAAATAATCTGTGAATAAAAAGCTCATAACTTTTAATTCAAATAACCATGGGGAAGTGGAATAAGAATCTTTCCTCCGTAAGCCATGCGTGTTGTAAAAGTCAACTAAAATGCCGGGAACAATGGGCTAGTAACCCCTTTTCCTGTAAAGATTACTAAAAAGAATAAGAAGAAGAAAATTGTCAAAGTGGGAAGTCTGAATGTGCGTGGATGTTGTGCAAATGATAAGAAAGAGATGATTGTGGATGTTATGAATGAGAAGAAACTGGATGTCCTGGCTTTAAGTGAAACAAAGCTGAAGGGGGTGGGAGAGTTTCAATGGAGAGGAATAAATGGGATTAGGTCAGGGGTTTCAAATAGAGTTAGAGCTAAAGAAGGAGTAGCAATAATGTTGAAGGATAAGCTATGGCAGGAAAAGAGGGACTACAAATGTATAAATTCAAGGATTATGTGGAGTAAAATAAAGATGGATGTGAAAAGTGGGTTATAGTAAGCGTGTATGCACCTGGAGAAGAGAGAAGTGTAGAGGAGAGAGAGAGATTCTGGGAAATGTTGAGTGAATGCGTGGGGAGTTTTGAATCAAGTGTGAGAGTAATGGTGGTTGGGGATTTCAATGCTAAAGTGGGTAAAAATGTTATGGAGGGAGTAGTAGGTAATTTTGGGGTGCCAGGGGTAAATGTAAATGGGGAGCCTTTAATTGAGCTATGTGTAGAAAGAAATTTTGGTAATAAGTAATACATATTTTATGAAAAAGAGGATAAATAAATATACAAGGTATGATGTAGCACGTAATGAAAGTAGTTTGTTAGATTATGTATTGGTGGATAAAAGGTTGATGGGTAGGCTCCAGATGTACATGTTTATAGAGGGGCAACTGATATATCGGATCATTATTTAGTTGTAGCTACAGTTAGAGTAAGAGGTAGATGGGAAAAGAGGAAGGTGGCAACAACAAGTAAGAGGGAGGTGAAAGTGTATAAACTAAGGGAGGAGGAAGTTCGGGCGAGATATAAGCGACTATTGGCAGAAAGGTGGGCTAGTGCAAAGATGAGTAGTGGGGGGGTTGAAGAGGGTTGGAATAGTTTTAAAAATGCAGTATTAGAATGTGGGGCAGAAGTTTGTGGTTATAGGAGGGGGGGGGCAGGAGGAAAGAGGAGTGATTGGTGGAATGATGAAGTAAAGGGTGTGATAAAAGAGAAAAAGGTAGCTTACGAGAGGTTTTTACAAAGCAGAAGTGTTATAAGAAGAGCAGAGTATATGGAGAGTAAAAGAAAGGTGAAGAGAGTGGTGAGAGAGTGCAAAAGGAGAGCAGATGAAAGAGTGGGAGAGGCACTGTCAAGAAATTTTAATGAAAATAAGAAAAAATTTTGGAGTGAGTTAAACAAGTTAAGAAAGCCTAGGGAAAGTATGGATTTGTCAGTTAAAAACAGAGTAGGGGAGTTAGTAGATGGGGAGAGGGAGGTATTAGGTAGATGGCGAGAATATTTTGAGGAACTTTTAAATGTTAAGGAAGAAAGGGAGGCGGTAATTTCATGCACTGGCCAGGGAGGTATACCATCTTTTAGGAGTGAAGAAGAGCAGACTGTAAGTGTGGTGGAGGTACGTGAGGCATTACGTAGAATGAAAGGGGTAAAGCAGCTGGAACTGATGGGATCATGACAGAAATGTTAAAAGCAGGGGGGATATAGTGTTGGAGTGGTTGGTACTTTTGTTTAATAAATGTATGAAAGAGGGGAAGGTACCTAGGGATTGGCGGAGAGCATGTATAGTCCCTTTATATAAAGGGAAAGGGACAAAAGAGATTGTAAAAATTATAGAGGAATAAGTTTACTGAGTATACAGGAAAAGTATACGGTAGGGTTATAATTGAAAGAATTAGAGTTAAGACAGAATGTAGAATTGCGGACGAACAAGGAGGTTTCAGAGTGGGTAGGGGATGTGTAGATCAAGTGTTTACATTGAAGCATATATGTGAACAGTATTTAGATAAAGGTAGGGAAGTTTTTATTGCATTTATGGATTTAGAAAAGGCATATGATAGAGTGGATAGAGGAGCAATGTGGCAGATGTTGCAAGTTTATGGAATAGGTGGTAAGTTACTAAATGCTGTAAAGAGCTTTTATGAGGATAGTGAGGCTCAGGTTAGGGTGTGTAGAAGAGAGGGAGAATACTTCCCGGTAAAAGTAGGTCTTAGACAGGGATGTGTAATGTCACCATGGTTGTTTAATATATTTATAGATGGGGTTGTAAAAGAAGTAAATGCTAGGGTGTTCGGAGAGGGGTGGATTAAATTATGGGAATCAAATTCAAAATGGGAATTGACACAGTTACTTTTTGCTGATGATACTGTGCTTATGGGAGATTCTAAAGAAAAATTGCAAAGGTTAGTGGATGAGTTTGAGAATGTGTGTAAAGGGTAGAAAGTTGAAAGTGAACATAGAAAAGAGTAAGGTGATGAGGGTATCAAATGATTTAGATAAAGAAAAATTGGATATCAAATTGGGAGGAGGAGTATGGAAGAAGTGAATGTTTTCAGATACTTGGGAGTTGACGTGTCAGCGGATGGATTTATGAAGGATGAGGTGAATCATAGAATTGATGAGGGAAAAAAGGTGAGTGGTGCGTTGAGGTATATGTGGAGTCAAAAAACGTTATCTATGGAGGCAAGAAGGGAATGTATGAAAGTATAGTAGTACCAACACTCTTATATGGATGTGAAGCTTGGGTGGTAAATACAGCAGCGAGGAGACGGTTGGAGGCAGTGGAGATGTCCTGTCTAAGGGCAATGTGTGGTGTAAATATTATGCAGAAAATTCGGAGTGTGGAAATTAGGAGAAGGTGTGGAGTTAATAAAAGCATTAGTCAGAGGGCAGAAGAGGGTTGTTGAGGTGGTTTGGTCATTTAGAGAGAATGGATCAAAGTAGAATGACATGGAAAGCATATAAATCTATAGGGAAGGAAAGAGGGGTAGGGGTCGTCCTCGAAAGGGTTGGAAAGAGGGGGTAAAGGAGGTTTTGTGGTGAGGGGCTTGGACTTCCAGCAAGCGTGCATGAGCGTGTTAGATAGGAGTTGAATGGAGACGAATGATACTTGGGACCTGACGATCTGTTGGAGTGTGAGCAGGGTAATATTTAGTGAAGGGATTCAGGGAAACCGGTTATTTTCATATAGTCGGACTTGAGTCCTGGAAATGGGAAGTACAATGCCTGCACTTTAAAGGAGGGGTTTGGGATATTGGCAGTTTGGAGGGATATGTTGTGTATCTCTATACGTATATGCTTCTAAACTGTTATATTCTGAGCACCTCTGCAAAAGCAGTGATAATGTGTGAGTGTGGTGAAAGTGTTGAATGATGATGAAAGTATTTTCTTTTTGGGGATTTTCTTTCTTTTTTGTGGGTCACCCTGCCTCGGTGGGAGACGACCGACTTGTTGAAAAAAAAAAAAAAAAAAAACCCTATGTTTTCTAGTATGTACAGTAACACAGCAAAATCAGCCATTTCCATTTTCTCCAGTACCCCACCCACCCTAGCAGCAAACATTTAACCTTTCCCAGCCCTTCATCCCATCAAATTCCTATATCTTCTCCAGACAAAATACACCTACCATGAGGCCTGGTCATTGACTAGGCCACAGAGGTGTTGACCCTGGAACACTCTCCAGGTATACCACTCCTTACCTGCCACTCTGGAAATTCTATCCAGCACCCAGTAACACAACACACACTGTCAATTATTAGCAGTCCAGCCTCTTTCTAATTCTACTATATCTCAACAAGGAACCTCACGAATTCATGCACATTCACAAGGTTTCACTGAGGCAAATAAACTAAGAAAAATGAAGGAAAACCCAAACATAATAGCAGTTGTATAAATTAAAACAATGACAATGATAAAAGACATAAATAGGAGGAGACACACTACATAAAAGATGTGGGAAAAGTTACTCTTTTTCAAAGACTTAATATTAGGTATGAAACTTGCGAGTCACTGGTGGAGGCTCAATCCTTAATCCACTAATAACTCCCTCATAATCAAGAAATGAAGATGTTATAAAGAGTTGCAAGAATTAAATTGCCATGGACTTATGGAATATGTATGTAATGGAGACTGGAAAAAAAAAAACAGTAGTGCCAAAGCAAAAAAAGTGGCTGTCTTTTACAACTTGACATATAATAGCAGAGTTCATCATAAAGGTAAAGATAAGATCAGCTCTGGAGGTCTATCAAAATAGGTGATCTCTGCAATCCATGCACTGTAATATTTGTATTAACTAACATATTGTCAGTACTTTCACCAGTGATTATATCAATTTCAGACTAGCAGGCTTGAATTTTGCCTTTGCCAGTAAATCCTAATAAAACTAAGTTGTTCAAATTGTACTGTGTGTGCACTTGCATGAATATGGGCCAGACAAGCCAGGCCTATGGCCGACTCCAGGAGTAGCAAAGACTCGAAACTCATCAAAGGTCTAAGGTAAAGGCTGTCTCCATGGAGAAGAGGTGACTGAAATGCCAGGAGCAAGGGACTTATAACCCCTTCTTAAGTATAAATTACTAAATTTAAGAAGGAAAACTTTCTTCTTTTAAGGTTACCCTGCCTCAGTGAGATATGGCTAGTATGTTGAAAAAAAAAATTTACTCTTGCTGCAATGTACATTCTTTTGTTATATAATTTACATAAATATTTTTTTCAACACATCAGCCATTTCCCACCAAGGCAGGGTGACATACATATATAATGTATGTAATTATATAAAATGGCAAAACAATTTCCAAAAATTAAATAAATTTTCTAATCCAGCTTTTGGAAGTTCCAAGTACCTGTGTTAGCAAACATACCTTAAGCTTCTCTGGATCCATACTTTTTGCTAATTCCACTTTCTTCATCTCAGCCATGGTACGAGGACCAGAGTCCTTCCCACTGCTGAAGCTGAACCCTTGAGAGCCAAGTAGGTCTCCAAAAGCATCTTCACCAACCCTGCCCTTTGGGGTACCCCCCACATTTTTACCTGGAACACAGGATATATTTTCTTAAAATAATTTTTTTTCTATTTTTTTAAAACTACAACAAATAAACGAAGCCAGATGTCGCCTTCAGTGACAACCCTGAAGGCACCGAGATATACAGCAGGAATGGCCACCTGACACAGAAGGCACAAAAGAACATGGGCATGTCATACAAGATACTCAGGAGGCATCACCATGGTGAACAGACTTAAAGAGTTGAAACAATTACAAGGGAAAACAGATTGAAGTTAAAAAACAAAATTGAGCTTAAGTGATATAAATTAGAACTAAAGTATAAGGAAAGAGTAGGATGAACAAGAGAAACTGCAATTTAGATAGTTAACCTAACTCCATTCACAAGTTCATACACAAATGTGACAAAGCCCATGTCAGAGCAATTAATCTTGATTTTCTCTTAACAGCAACTTCCACCGAGGATAAAGAGAACACATTCACCATCATTCATTCAGTAGCTGTCTTTCCAGAAATGTGCTAACATCACGATTCAGATTATCCTCCTGCAATATCCCCACTCCCTCCTTAAGAGTGCAGGTACATACTGATCTTCTTATCTCCAAGATTCAAGTCCAACTAACTGGTTTTTTCCTGAATACCTTCATAAAATTTACCTTGCTCACACACAAACATGATGTCCAATAAAAAAAACACTTGTTTCTATTCTCTCCTGTCTAATATGCTCATATAAGCCTGCTGTATGCTCAAGCCTGTTTTACCACCTCCCTCTAACCATTCCTGGGATGACCCCTACCCTCCTAGCTTCCACCACAGATTTATACACCCTTTTTGTCAACCTATCCTCTCCACATACCCAAACCACCTCAACAATCCTTGCTCAGCCCTGTGAATTATACCCTTGGTGACCCCACACTGCCTTTTAATTTGCATGCTCTGAATTTTCTGCATGTTATTCACACTGCACATCACTTTCAAACATGACATCTCCATGACGAAAACTTACCAGCAGCATCAAAATTAACACGTCCATAATTGGGCTGACTTGGAGATTTCATCTGGTGATGAGGAGTACCTGTTGGTGTTTTCCCTGCAGATGGTGGTTGCTGTGGTTGTGATGGCAGAGGTGGTTGCTGTGATTGCTGTGGTTGTGGTGGTTGCTGTGGCTGCTGTGGTCTAGCTGACTGTTGCCAACCACCTAGTTGTGCTCCCATCAAACCTATTGCAGAATAAAAGAGAGAATAACTTAAAATTTGCAAGTGACACCAATGCAATTAACTAGTTACCAGAATTTCATCTTTTCTTGTTTGGATATGCCAGAAGTCAGCCAACTACATAACAGGTTATTGCTTTCATTAGCACAAACAAGTAATAAGAATATTTGAGAGAGAAATTCATGAATAAGCACATTATTATTGTATTCACTGGGAAGCACTAAAAACCTTATGGGTCACATAATGCATGGAGAATGGAAGACGAATAGGCTATATCTTAGGAAGGGAAAGGTAGCTCCAACTGCTTGGATCAAGAGACATTCACCAGTTTCATGGCACTCCTCTTAAATGGATACACACACACACAGCACAATGATCACCTGGTGTCTGTCCCTGCCACATTCCAGCCATCTGTGGACGGTGCTGTGGTGAACCCATGACAGGGGTGCTACCACCCAAGGGTGTTCCACCTGCAGGAGTTCCACCCTTAGGTGTTGTAGGCTTAGATCCACCCCATCCACTTATACCTGCCAAATTCCCTATGAAAATACAAAAATACATTTAAAAGAAATTTTTTTCAGTGGGGTGTACTATATCTGTACAGTAGTCTCTCCTATTATTTTCATTATTTTTTCTGAGATGTATTAAGCTCAAAATAAAAATGGTTAATTGTTGTGAATGAAAACTAATATACCTGGCTCTCTTCAGGATGTTCAGGAGCTAAGTCCCAAAGAAGAAAGGCAAGTAATATAATATACACATGATTCAAAAGTATTATTGCAAATGTAAGTGGTATCCCCCCTAGGTAGTAGGTTGGTAGACAGCAACCGCCCAGGGAGGTACTACCGTCCTGCCAAGTGAGTGTAAAACGAAAGCCTGTAATTGTTTTACATGATGGTAGGATTGCTGGTGTCCTTTTTTCTGTCTCATGAACATGCAAGATTTCAGGTACGTCTTGCTACTTCTACTTACACTTAGGTCACACTACACATACATGTACAAGCACATATATACACACCCCTCTGGGTTTTCTTCTATTTTCTTTCTAGTTCTTATTCTTGTTTATTTCCTCTTATCTCCATGGGGAAGTGGAACAGAATTCTTCCTCAGTAAGCCATGCGTGTTGTAAGAGGCGACTAAAATGCCGGGAGCGAGGGACTAGTAACCTCTTCTCCTGTATATATTACTAAATGTAAAAGGAGAAACTTTCGTTTTTCCTTTTGGGCCACCCCGCCTCGGTGGGATACGGCCGGTGTGTTGAAAGAAAGAAAGAAAATGATTCAAAAGTATTATTGCAAATGTAAGTGGTATCCCCCCTAGGTAGTAGGTTGGTAGACAGCAAACGCCCAGGGAGGTACTACCGTCCTGCCAAGTGAGTGTAAAACGAAAGCCTGTAATTGTTTTACACAATGGTAGGATTGCTGGTGTCTTTTTTTTCTGTCTCATACACATGCAAGATTTCAGGTACGTCTTGCTACTTCTACTTACACTTAGGTCACACTACACATACATGTACAAGCATATATACACACACCCCTCTGAGTTTTCTTCTATTTTCTTTCTAGTTCTTGTTCTTGTTTATTTCCTCTCATCTCCATGGGGAAGTGGAACAGAATTCTTCCTCCATAAGCCATGCGTGTTGTAAGAGGCGACTAAAATGCCAGGAGCAAGGGCCTAGTAACCCCTTCTCCTGTATAAATTACTAAATTTAAAAAGAGAAACTTTTGTTTTTCTTTTTGTGCCACCCTGCCTTGGTGGGATACGGCCAGTTTGTTAAAAAAAAAAAATGGTATCCCCTGTAGGTAGTAGGTTGGTAGACAGCAACCGCCCAGGGAAGTACTGCCGTCCTGCCAAGTGAGCGTAAAACGAAAGCCTGTAACTGTTTTACATGATGGTAGGATTGCTGGTGTCCTTTTTTCTGTCTCATAAACATGCAAGATTTCAGGTCTTGCTACTTCTACTTACACTTAGGTCACACTACACATACATGTACAAGCATATATATATACACACCCCTCTGGGCTTTCTTCTATTTTCTTTCTAGTTCTTGTTCCTGTTTATTTCCTCTTACCTCCATGGGGAAGTGGGACAGAATTCTTCATCCGTAAGCCATGCGTGTTGTAAGAGGCGACTAAAATGCCGGGAGCAAGGGGCTAGTAACCCCTTCTCCTGTATATATTACTAAATTTAAAAAGAGAAACTATCGTTTCTCCTTTTGGGCCACCCCGCCTCGGTGGGATACGACTGGTGTGTTGAAAGAAAAGAAGTGGTATCCCCTATAGGTAGTAGGCTGGTAGACAGCAACCGCCCAGGGAGGTACTGCCATCCTGCCAAGTGAGTGTAAAACAGAAACCTGTAATTGTTTTACATGATGGTAGAATTGCTGGTGTCTTTTTTCTGTTTCACAAACATGCAAGATTTCAGGTACGTATTGCTACTTCTACTTACACTTAGGTTACACTGCACATACATGTACAAGCATATATATATATACATACCCCTCTGGGTTTTCTTCTTTTTCTTTCTAGTTCTTGTTCTTGTTTATTTCCTCTTATCTCCATGGGGAACTGGAACAGAATTCTTCCTCCGTAAGCCATGCGTGTTGTAAGAGGCGACTAAAATGCCAGGAGCAAGGGGCTAGTAACCCTTTCTCCTGTATATATTACTAAATGTAAAAGGAGAAGCTTTCGTTTTTCCTTTTGGGCCACCCCGCCTCGGTGGGATATGGCCGGTGTGTTGAAAGAAAGAAAGAAAGAAGTGGTATCCCCATCCTGTTATCCTGATGAGCTATGTAATAAACACAAGTTATAAAATAATTGATGAAAAATACCTTATTCACCCTTATTTTCCTTCTCTATCATTCACTGCTTTTCTCATTTACTGCTTCCCTCATTCACTGCCTCCTTCCTTCATTCACTGCTTCCTTCTCTCATTTTTTGCCTTCCTTCATCAATCACTGTTATCCTCATTCATCACTGCATTTTGAGTATTATCTACCAATATTTTTGATGGAAGGAAAAGCTGATAGTGTTATTTCCTTGTGGCAACACATCCATTGAGGAAGATAGCTGGTAGTATTCACTGGTAGCAAAGATTGATGCATACATTACTCCCACTCACCAACACTCCATCACACTGTTGGTGACACATGTAATACATCACTCACCAACACCATCACAGTGACGGCAATGGGTGAGTCATTCAATACATGCACTTCACTTGGCAAAACTCCATCACACTGTACCACCTTTGAAGGTACATCTTTACTTTTTTAAGCTCTTCAAAGGGGGGATGTCTTCAATGTACCATACACCCTCCAGATATACAGGGGGAATAAAAAAATTCATGCTCTGACTCTTGGATGCACTTTTAAACAATATGGATGGAGATGGAGACATTAGCTGCCTCCCAATGGCAAAAGTTAAAGTATGAAGATAAAGATAGGTGGTATAACAAGCATTTTATTGGGACAACATTTTGCTCTGTGGGAACTTCATATGACTTGACGAAGTTCTACACAGAGTGAAATCTTATCCCAATTAAAAGCTTATTCTGCAACTTGTGTCTTTGTCTTTGTAATACAGTAGTCAACAATAAACTATTTAAGCCACTAAAGGTTCTAAATTTGTGAATTTAGAGTAGACTAACCCTGTCTCATAACTATCAGTCTAATCAAAGGATTCAGAAATGAAGAAACCAGAGCTTTATGTTAGAATAAAAAACTTTCCCAAATAAAGAAGCCAAGAAATAGATGTGCTCAATAGCAGTATTTCCACCATCTATTCTTTTCTAAACAGTTTAGGACCCATGCAAATGGCCTAAAAATTTACCTAAATCACTGTACTCAATGATCTTTATAAACTTAGAGACAGATGTAAAGAAAATAATAATAATTATAAGAGCACTAATAAAAGAAAAGCTATAGCAAATCTTGGTAAAAAATAATTAGGTATATTTAGTGACTACTTAGTAGATTAAAAAATAATAAAAATATGATTATTATTTTGTAATAATAATCACACAAAAAATCCGCACTTATGAGAAACTTATGATGACATTTTGGTCCAATTTGTACCAATAACTATTAACACTCCCATCCCCACCCCCTCTCGCATATAGTCTGACTTTCTTCCCTTCACGCTTTTTTGTGTGACTAGTAAATGGTCACAGTTGGACCAAAAATCATCATAATTTGTCTTCTAAGTGTGGGTTATCTGTCTTTTGTTCCAATCATGGTATTATGCATTTTATTCTTTATCCACTGGGTCAGTCAATTCAGAAACAAGAGACAAAGTTCAATGATTAACCCTTAAACTGTCCAAACGTAGATCTACGTTCACGTGCGTAGCGCTCTGACCTTGGTTTTCCCCATTTGAAAGCATGTAAAAAAAAAAGGTAGATCTACGTTCTGAGCCCCCTGGATGTGGACGTGGATCTACATTTAGACAGTTTAAGGGTTTGAAAACTGTCCATTACTGTTAGGATCACGACACAATAATTTCATCTGTATCACCCCAAGTGCCATGACTGGCCACCTGCTCTATCTTATTAGTCAGTTCAATTAAGAGTTTACTGTACTGTAGTTACCTAGCTCAGCAAATGGATCAGCAGGTTTATTCTGCTGCTGTTGTGGTGCTGGAGGACGCATAAAGCCACCTCCAACTGTATTACTTGGACTAGTTGCTCCTCCTATTATTCGTGGACCCATCATAGGACTGCCTGAAGGTGCCATTGGGCCAATACCACCCATTGCCTTTTAGACAAAAAATATTGTGAATTAAGTTATGAAGTCAAATAGGTTAGGAGATTTTGTTTACATATACAAAAAAGAAGCAATTGCACACGAGTAAATAGCATTTTATGTACAAACTATTAGATATTGACTTGCATTATGAAAATAAAAAGTAACATAATTGATCTCCATCCTCTACTATACTGCAACACCACATCTACTATAAATGTATCTAACAACAAACACAATTACATAAATTAAACTTAAAAAAGCAAACATGTCCCCAGTCCACCCACCCCAACTAATAAAAAAAATTAAATTGCACTAATTACAACATACTGGTACAGTACTGCACATTCCCAGTGTGTATACATGCAACAGGTCTAAACAGACTCACAAGTCACCCACAAATAATGAAGCAAATTAATTTCATAATGCTGGAGAACATACAATATTGTATTTACCTTTGATAAAGAAAAGGCAGATAGAGAGCGAGAGAGAGCGAGAGAGAGCGAGAGCGAGAGCGAGAGCAAGAGAGAGAGCGAGAGAGCGAGAGAGAGAGAGAGAGAGAGAGAGAGAGAGAGAGAGAGAGAGAGAGAGAGAGAGAGAGAGAGAGAGAGAGAGAGAGAGAGAGAGAGATGTGAGTGTGTGTGTG